TCCCCTTGGCCCTCCCCTCCCCCCGTCCGGCTCCGTCCCCTCCTGGCTCTTAGACGCCCCTGCCCAAGGTGAGGCCCCAGCAGAGGAGCCAGGCTGGCTGCCTGAGGCTGCCCCCGGCTGGCTGGGTCCCAGGCCTCACCCAGGAAACAACTGGCCTCAGGGCCCCACAGGCATCTCCCACTCAGCAGGTCACACACTGACTCTGCCTACGTCCAAATCCGCCACGAGAAGGCAGCTAAGGGGACGAGGAGTAAGAACAGGGGACAGACAGGGCATGATGCGTGGTGAACCGAGACCCTAGGGCACCAACCGTTACATTAAATACAAACAGTCTAAACACACCAACGGAAAGAAAAGGACGAGCAGGTTGTATGAGAAACAAGACCTGCCCTGGCTGGTTGGCTCAGTGGATAGAGCGTCAGCCTGCGGACTGAAGGGTCCCGGGTTCGATTCCGGACAAGGGCACATGCCGGGGTTGCGGGCTCGATCCCCAGTAGGTGGCGTGCAGGGGGCAGCCGATCCATGATTCTCTCTCATCATTGATGTTTCTCTCTCCCCCCGTCCCTTTCTCTCTGAAATCAATAAATATATATATATATTTTAAAAAAGACCCGACTTACGTTTTAAATATAAAGACAGCAGTAGGTTAAAAGGAAAAAGGAGGAGGGGGAAACCGACCATGCGAACACTGATCCAAGGAAAGCTACCGTAGCGGAGTTAATTTCAGACAAAGGAGACTTCACAAAAAGGGACGTCACTGGAGAAAGAGGGACGCTGCATGATGACAACAGGGCCACCTGGCCACCGGGACGTGGCCGTCCTGCAGGCGTGTGCACCTGACCGCCACGCTTCCAAATACGGGAAGCAGAATCCAGCAGAAATACCGGACAGCCACAGCTGGAGCGGGGATCCAGCTGCTTCCTCTTGGCAATTAGCAAACAAGTCGGCGGGAGCAGAGGCCAGCCCGTCGACGACCCCCTGGGGCAGCCTGACCAGGTTTCTGCCTGCTGGCTGTCGTCTGCTTTTCCCTGACTGACAGCCACTCGGCAGCGGAGAACACACTTTCTCCTCCAGTGCACACGGACCTTCACCAACGCTGGGCCAGACAACAAGTCTTAACAACTTGAAAAGCGTTCATCACTGACCTTAATGGAATTAGACCAGAAAAATCCCCAAACATTTGGAAAATAAACACTTCTTAAATTTGTGGGGTAGCATTTAGATGGAAACGTATAGCATTAAATACTCTATAAAAAAAGGTCTCGCCCTGGCTGGTTGGCTCAGTGGATGGAGCGTCAGCCTGCGGACTGAAGGGTCCCAGGTTGGATTCCAGTCAAAGGCACATGCCCAGGTTGCAGGCTTGATCCTCAGTGGGGGGCGTGCAGGAGGCAGCCGATCAATGATTCTCTCTCATCATGGATGTTTCTATCTCTCCCTCTCCCTTCCTCTTGAAAGCAATAAAAAACACACACACACACATAGAGACATATATACATATACACACTAGAGGCCCCATGCACGAAATTTGTGCACAGCTAGGGTCCCTAGCTATGATCAGGGCCAACCTGTCGGGTGAGCGGTGGGGCAACTGGGGACCTGCTGACTGGCCCCGGCCCCCACCTCTGCCAGTCGCCTCCATCTGTGGGGTGACTGGCAGGGCGATCGGGGCCCCCCCTAAACCTGGCTGGTTCAAAACAAGCTGCTGTAACAAGGGAGTGTAGGGCTCTGTTCAAAGGCAGGATCACTGCTCCCATTTGAAGAACGCCCATGGGAGACCTCAAGACTTGGTAGCGCCTAACCCCAGAAACCCAATCTCTTTCATGTCTCACTGTGAGATCCTAAATGGTGAAGTGGGAAGCAG